TTAGACTCTTCCTCGAATTCTCCAACTCTCATTAGAACTTCTAATAAACGTTGTGCTTGCTTGTCTATACCCGGTTGATTGAGTGATTTACTCCTACGGCTGGTTCCGAGACTCCCGCTCTTGGCCCTCTAGTTCCCACTTTAGACTTTCCCAATGGATTCCTTGAAATTCCACGATTTTTTGATTCTCCTTGATCATGGTAATTTGCAGGGTCTCTCAACCCCTTCTCATACCTTGTCCTCTAGCTTGTGCTTGACAGGTGTATAGCATTCCTGATCTAACCTCAACCTCTACATCATTTATCTCGTTGCTTGTCTTGCTCCTTTTGAAGGCTTGCTATCAGCCTAACTCCCAGGGTCATGTACCCTCTTCTCTAGTGAGGTAGTTTGTCTATAAGGGTTCATTTATCGTCATATGTAGATGACCATGCCTCCTCTCCTCCTTGACCTGTTGACTTTTTGACATCCTTTCATACTCCCTGTGACTTACTTATTACCTCATTTGCTTCATTTATACTACCTTAGCTTTTCTTGAAGCCTAAGTTTTCCACTACTCCTTGTCACTGTGTTGTGATAGCATCGAGCCATCAACGACTAAAATCAGTTGGGGGACTTCTCGTGGTACCTCTTCGTTTCTTGACTCTTTGCTTTCTCACCACTGCCTAGGGTCAAGGACCTTGAAATCCTCACATCCTTATAGCCACTGACATTTAGTGGTTGAAGCTCTTTCTTCGAAGATTCATAGTTCTCCTATTTGTTTGTCTTAGCTTATTAGATTCTCCACATGTCTCATAGTAGTAAAATCCTCGTACTACTCCCTCAACTCCTTCCAAATCCTCGAGGTATTTCATTATGATTAGCACCGCTTTTCTAGTGTTTAGAGTTGATGTCCTTGGACATCTGATTATACCTCCATAGGCCTTCTTAAAACGTTCCTCCTTTTTTTTTCCTCGTATCTTGAAATTCTAATAGAGTTGGCCACATTTCTTGCTTTCTTCCTCTCATACTGATGACCGCCATACGCCTCAATCTCTTATTTGACGTCCCACGACGAGTTAACTTAACTCGCGTCCTAGCTTATTCTTAAACAAATTGCACCCACGTGCTACCTTCTCATAGTGTCGTGCTGTAATAGTTATTCACCTCAACATGATTAGAGTAGACTGGAGATTCTATAAACTCTTAAAAGAAGATCCTTGAAACTGAGACTGATATTCCAGTATTCCTTGGAGACCAAGGAACAGAGGAAGATCGACTCTGATACCAAAATGTAACACCCTAACCTGACTGGGTACTCCTTTTACTAAAATGCCCTTGATAAATAAAATACTCAAATCTTAAATTGCAGCGGGAAAATTTTTCATAAATAAACAAAAACTGAAAACACACACTTGTAGCTCAGAGAAAAGCCCTAACACGTGGGCAAATTAAGCTCAAACTTTAAAATCTCAATCTGATCTCCAGTCTGTACTCATAATCATAAATGTAAATAACTAATAATCTCTAATGTTGTTGCTACTGACACCTTGACTAAGCATCCTCTGTGACGCTTATACTGCCCTCCTCTAGCTGTCTGCCCTCGAATTCGTTGCTCACTAAATGCTCCTCTAGCTCTTCCTCTAGCTCTTCAAACTGGTGAGTGAGATGGGGTCAGTCTACACCCTTACGTTTAACCTCTTATTAAAACTTGAGCACTTTACTTAACTGTGTGGAAGTTGTTTTGTACTTCCACTATTGAAAAGCTTAACTCTTAAAACTGTATGGGAGTTACTGTTACTCCATTCTTAAATCTCAAAGCTTGACTTAAATACTTGACTGAAACTGGGATCCCCCACTAGCTAGTCCGGTTGCCCAACTCATACGTATGAGAAGCCATCCAGGCTTTCCTTAAACTTAAAGTCGTAACGATTCATCCCCCTAACATCTTAAACTTATCGTGGTAGCTCTTCACCAAGATTCTCAAGGGCATAACTGCTGCCCATCTTAAATATCTCAAGAGCATAACTGCTGCTCTGTCTCAAAGAACTTGTTTCTTACTCTTTAATAATAACTTATACTCGTAAAGCTTTAAATTAAATAATAACTCATGCACCTTCAAATCAAACATAGCTCAAACAAAATCACATATTATCAACAATAATCATGCAATCTCAAACATGAATCAAATACTGCACATACATCACGTAAATCTATACTCGAAAATACTCAAGGAAAATACTTGAAAATCGTAAGGCGTAGAATTTACCCCCTTTACACTCACCTTCTTTGAAACTCCGATTAATGATGGCCACCACCAACTCTGCCCTTCGAGCTACAGTGCCCAAACTGGTTTTGAAATGCTCTTGATCCCCATGCGTAAATTCTATTCAACCGCCCAACTGTATACCAGCTCCTTCCAACAAATTACAAGATAAGCACGTATTGTGCTTATGTAAATATTGGTTTTCACATGAAATCAAGAGTGAGATCATAATGACTTTGGAAGCTTGAATATGATGGGCACGATAACCACTCCCACCAGGATATTCATGTGATCTACGGATGCTAATCAGAAAGTCTATTGAGGATGGCTCCACCGATAGTTTACTTTTAGAGGATGACTGAGTATAGAGCTGAACGTCACACTGCAAAGCTTCATTGCCGAACTCCCTCAGCGCATCATTAATGGTGGTCATCTACACCACTTGCTCATCCGAAATCATCAACGCAACGCCATGCACTGATTTTGCTTCCATCGTAATTGATCTCTTGAAAAGCTTGGAGCGGAATGGGAGAACGAGGAACCCTAGAATTTGAAGCGGAGTGGAGACGGAAGGATTTTTTTTATTTAATACTAATAATAATAATAATAATAATAATAATAATAATAATAATAATTATTATTATTATTATTCCTAATCCCCGGTTGCAACTCTTCGTACATACTCGTTAAACCAACCGTTCACGTATTATGGTCGAACCGAAACCCAAAGGTCGGGGTGTTACACAAAGTCATCCAGAACCTTACCAACTCAGTTGGATAAACGAGCACGAAACAATTAATGTAACAAAGCAAGTTGTGGTTCATTTTCAAATCGGCAGCTACGAAGATGAGGTAAATTGTGACGTTGTGCCGATGAATTGTGTTCATATGATGCTGGGAAGACCGTGGCAATTTGATCGCGAATTTGCTCATGATTTTTGAACCAATTAATTCAAATTTCGACATCACAACAGGAAGGTAGTTCTGAAACCTCTTTCGCCGGATGAAGTTTATGGCGATTTGAAGCAGATGGAGGAGAATAGGAATGAGGGAAAGAGTGTATGAGCTTAGTTATGGGTGCAGATGCAATTGGGTTTCTGTTTTTTTAGCTTTCGAAAACTCTAGACAGTAGTGTAAGGTTAGGAATCCACTGTCCAGGAGGACCCCTGTTCTGCCCAGAAAACCTCTATTTTGTACCGGGAAAACAGAGTCTTGAGAAGGCCGACAAACTCGAGGAGTTAAAGGACGATTCGTGTGACCGGGAAAGTGTAGAAGTCTTCATTGAAGTTGTAGGAATTTTTAACAGTGGATTAGAAGCTTCAGAGGTCCTTGGAGTTGCTCGAATCGAGCCATTGAAGAAGGTTATGTCGGTCTGTCCAGCTCTGACAAAACAGAACGCAAACAGGGCTCTCGTGGGAGGAACATCTGGCGAAGATTTGATCCAATACGCGGCCACAGGAATGCTCAAGAAAACTCCAAGAATGTTATCCCTACATTCAATCGAAGTAATCGTACCTGTCATTCGGGAATTCATCCCGACAAATTTACCTCTGTTTACAACGACGAGCAGTCGTAAGAACTCCTTCGGATATCGCACGTTCCAGCCCGAATCAAGCAGAAACAATGATGTGGAATCGTTACAGGAGGGGTTTGGAAGGTGTAGGGTCAATCAATTCGTCACGAAGTTGCCTGAATCACAAACGCCCAACTTCGAATTGCAAAATCTGGGTTTTAGAATTTTGAATTTCGGTGACGCCGGGAATGTGAAAGTCGACGAATTGACGATGACAGTGACAAGTCAAGGCTTGGCAATGGTTCAAACTTTAATTGGAATCCTGGCGAAAAGATTGGAAGGGTTAAATTCGATTGGGGATGCTTCAATTGGAAACCCCCAATTGGTTCGAATGAGTTCATGTGCAAGGAAGAGCTCCGACGATGCACCACTTATTCTGATCACTTTCCGGTGCATTGTTCGTCGAGACAGATTTTTTTCAAGCCCATGAAGAGTTCCCAACAACCCTGCAAGCTTGAAAGTCTCTGGAGAAGATCAAAGCGAAATTTGAAGCTTCCAGAGTTATGTCGAAGAAGATGTTTAATCAGCCTTCTTTCAATCCAATTTGGGATCGTTTCTGTGAATCTTTTGAGAAGACAAAAGATCCAGATTTGAGGGAAAAACTTTTTATTACAAAATAGCAGGTACAAGGTACGTATAGGGGCTGCCCTAATTTGAACACGAATTCTGTTTGTACAGATATAGTCCATTGCTTCTTCTCCTTCGCTCTTGTGTAGAACCGAGCTTTGATACCACTTAATACGACCTTAGGGGGTGTATGTTATCAAAGTCACGCAGCAAACAATCAATCGAAAGATTTATTGAACTTGAATCAAGAACAACACGTTCTTAATACAAAATTTGGATAAAACGGAACATACGGACAATTCTACACCTGTGGAAAGCTCACATGGTATAGAAGGGTAGTTTATCAACCACGATTGAATAGACTATTCAATTGATATAACGCTCACAAGTTTGGAATCCACCAAACTCACACAAGTCCACAAACTTGCACAAAACCAAAGGTTTCTTTTCAATTAATCAAAGTCCGTCTTTTACAAGTAAAATTGATTCAGGCCTAATTGCACACATTTTATCCCCGTTTCCCTTTGACGTTTGTAGCATTCGAACTCATAAAAGGGTGGTTTTAATCTAGGTTTTGTGCGTTTTAATGTGTTTCAGGATCCCACAGGTGAAACCACCCCCCGAGTCGAAAGTTGGACGAAAGCAGGCAAAGACCGGGCAAAGAGGGTGATCCAGGGGAGATTCACAGGTTATCATGGGAGTTCACGGTCCCATATAGCCATGAACTGAAGCCCAAAACTGTGAACCGCGATGCTTCCTGGGAGAAATATGTAGTTACTGGCGCGAGACGAGTTCACGGTCAACAAGACCGTGAAGATTGAGGCAAAACCGTGAACTCTTGATGGCGAAGTGGTGCGTTTCGACATCGCGCTCTTTGTTCACGGACGCGTTGAAGAGTTCACGGCCGTGAATTGAGCCAATTCTTGGTATAAAGTGTGAGCTGTAAGGAAGAGAGAGGGGGCCCAAGTGTGAGAAAGTGTCGTCTTCTTCAGATTTTATAGAGAGAAAGGACGAACCAAGGAAGAAGGAAGGCTAGGGTTTGCTCCTAGTGGTGAATTGGTAAGAATCTCCCCAAGAGAAGATCAACAAAATCTTAGAGGAGATTGGAGGCATCACCATGATGGTTTCTACCTCTTTCTCTTGTGTTCTTCCCCTTTCTAGCATGGAGTAGTACTCTTTTTCACTTGGGTGATGTGAAACCCTAACTATTTGCCATGTAGTTGTAGTGTTACTTGAATGATTGTGTATGGGTGTTTAATTTAATGATCGAGGTATTTTCATGATGATTGTGCATGTGTGTGCTTAGCAATCTTTTTGGCCATTCTAACCTAGGTTAGAGGGGAAACCCCCCTTTCTAAAAGAGGCTCAATTGAGTTGGGATTCCTTGGGCTTGACAAGCCATTGGTTTATGGGAGAAGGTAAGTCAACCCTTAATTTCCTTAACCAAGAGGGCTACTCTTGTAGGCTATAATGTATCCCTTGGTTTGACAATTTAGAGTATGGTCCTCTACCATAGTTGCACCTTCTAGTGGTTCATGATTACCTTGCTCATAAGGTCCCATTCGAGTCCGCGTGCCATGGTAGTAGTTAGGGGAAGCGACACCCGAGTGATCCTTCTCATCTATAACTTTCAAACCATTTACCTTATATTTGTTTTGATTTAAATCTCATAGTTTTCAACCAAAAACAAATTCGTTAGATAATGCTCAAAACAACGGAAGTAGGGGTACACGGGCCGGCCCGTGTTGATATTTAAATATATTTTCCCTATATTGCATCGATCTAAGGTTTATACTTGGGCCTTAGGTGAGAATTTACTGTGATATTTAGGACGAGTCAAGTTTTTGGCGCCGTTGCCTGGGACCTTCGGTCCGTTATCTTGAAAAACTTGTTTGGTGTTAATCTAGCTTTTAATTTTCAGCTTTGTTTGTTTGAGTGTTTTGATTGTGCTAGATGTGGTCTTGTTCTCTAAGTGTGTGCAGGGAAGTGCATGATCCGGAGCAATCTGGCTCCCTTAATACCACTTGACAAGAACATCAAACGGACTCTCCGACTCCTAACTCGGGAGAGGGAGTTAGCGGAAGCAAGGAGGAGAAGTGAAGAGAGGGGACAATAATTGTGTCCCTGAGTTAGTGGAGAAGAAGTTGATGGAGAAGTGGATATTGGAGTTGAGATGGCAAAAAAACAAAGAGAAGGAGTCGCCGCCCAAGCTCACAACAATAATGAGGAGGCGGCCAAGGAGGAAGCCTTGAGGACAATGGGGTATTACATGGCCCCACGGCCGGCGAACATTCAGTCTCCTATCCTACACCATCCCGTAGCGACTAACAATTTTGAGATTAAGTCGACCCTCATTGACAATGATTCAGAACAATGCTTTGTTCCATGGGCTCACAAGTGCATCGCCGAGGGAGCACATGCGACGATTACTTGAGCTCGTGGGGAGTATGAAGATTAATGGCGTGCCGACAGAAGCTTTTCAACTAAGGCTTTGCCCTTAATCACTTGCGGGGAAGTCACTTAGATGAATGAACAACCGGCCACCTCGTTCAATTACCTCGTGGGATGATCTTCTCAACAAATTTATGACCCGCTATTGCAAGCCTTCAAAGACGGCCGAGTGGAGAAAGAAGATCACCCATTTCGAGCAAGATGAAGATGAAACCTTGAGGGATACTTCGGAGAGATTCTCTGATTATTTTCCTCAATGCCCTCACCATGGGTTCAAAGAATAATTTTGGATTGAAACTTTCTACGGAGGGCTCATACATGAAGACAAGATCCTCATTGATTCTCTTTGTCAAGGGAGGCCCTCAAAGGTTAGAAGATATGGCCCTCAAAGGTTATGATTGGGGTTTGACGAGAAGCGGGAAGAGAAGCAATGAAAGAGGAGTAAGAAGTGTGGGAGCGAGTGCTCCAATTGAAGCAAAACTTGATAAGTTGATTGAAGTGATCGTTGAGGATAAGAAACAAGAGAGAGAGCAGTGACATCTAGTGGCTAGGGTGCAAGTGCGGAAGAAGAGGAAGTGGAGTGTCTTATGGTGAGTGGGGAACCGGCTCAATGTGAGCAGCTGTACTCCATTGCCCCGGCGCATGCTGACTGGATGTCAAGCCTGGAGGAGTTAGCGATGAACTTTGCAGCCTCCAACTTGAAGAAGTTTGAAAGAATTGACAGGTTCATATGAGAGGCGACAAAGAAATTCTCAACCATAGAGGCGGGGTTGCAGAGTCACCAAACAATCTTGACAACCCTTATCGCAAGTGTGGGGATTTTCTCACAAGCAGCTCGCTCCCGGAAGCAAGCCGATGAAATGGAAGTGGGAGCGGTTACTCTTCGAAGTGGAAGAGAGGCCAGAGAGCTAACCCCAAAGAAGAAAGCACCTGACTCAGATGAGCAATAGGGGGCTGCTAGCCCTCCCGAGTAATAGGAGGTCATGAGTGAAACAGAAAAGGAGAAGGCAGCTTCAATCCCCCAGTGCAAAGGAAGGAAAAGGAAGTTCCAACTCTTCCCTATCCTTCTTGACTCCAAAATGACCGTATGGCAATAGAGTTTGCCCGTTTTATGGAGTTGATGAACCAGTTGCAGTTAAACATCCCCTTCATGGAGGCCATCACCCAGATGCCCAAGTATGCAAAATACTTGAAGGACCTCTTTTCCAACAAAAAGAAGCTGGAGGGGATAGCTACGGTGAGCTTGAATGAAGAGTGCTCCGCCATCCTACAGAGCCACCTTCTCACAAAGCGCAAAGATCTATGGAGTTTCACTATCCCTTGTTTTATTGGCAACAATCCCTACAGAGCCACCTTCCCAAAAAGATCAAGAAGTGGAGGCTTTTCCCTCGATGCCAAAAATCCCTACCTCATTGGAGGAACCTCCCGAGTTGGAGCTGGATCCTCTCCCTCCACATCTTGAGTACACTTTTCTGAGGGATGATGGGAAACTCCCAGTCATCATCAACTCAAATCTTACACCGGAGTAGAAGGCTGAATTGATTGCGGTCTTGAAGCGTCAGGAGAGGTAGTGAAGGCGAAACTGATTAAGCTATTGGATGTTGGGATTATATACCCCATTTCGGATAGTCAGTGGTTGAGCCCGACTCAGTTGGTTCCTAATAAAGTAGGAATGACAGTGGTAGCCAATGAGAAGGAAGAGCTTATACCAACAAGAACAGTGACTGGATGGAGGGTCTGCATCGACTATCGAAGGTTGAACGATGCCACTCAGAAAGATCACTTCCCTTTGCCCTTCATCGATCAAATCCTCGAAAGTCTTGCTGGACATGATTACTAGTTCTTCTTAGACGGGATGTCAGGATACTTCCAGAGATGCATGGTAGCTATTTTTTATAAACTCATGGGGGAGATAATGGAGGTGTTCATGGACGACTTCTCGGTCGTCGGAGATTCATTTCTTCACTCTCTTGCCAACCTGGAGAAGGTCCTTGAGCGATGCAAAGAAACGAATCTAGCTTGAGATGAGAGAAGTCGCATTGTATGGTGCGAGAGGGCATTGTGTTGGGTCACAAAATCTCCAATAAAGGAATTGAAGTGGATCGAGCCAAGGTTGAAACAATAATCAAGATCCCTCCACCAACCACAATCAAGGGCATCATGAGCTTCCTTGGACATGTTGGGTTTTACCGTCCGTTCATCTAGAACTTCTCGAAGATTGCATTACCCTTGACCAAGCTTTTGGAGAAGGATGCCCCCTTCCTTTTCACAATGGAATGTTTGGAGGCTTTTAACATCCTCAAGGCGAAGCTTACATATGCCCCCCATAATGGTCTCACCCGATTGGAGTCTTCCTTTCGAGCTCATGTGTGACACTAGTGACTATGCAGTGGGAGCGGTGTTGGGCCAAAGGCGGGGTAGGCACTTTCAACCTATTTGCTATGCTTCATAGACGCTGAATGATGCTCAAGAGAACTACACAACCACCGAAAAAGAGTTGTTGCCAATGATCTTCGCTTTCGATAAATTCAGGTCTTACCTGTTCTCTCCAAGGTTATTGTTTACACCGACCACTCCGCCATCCGCTTCTTGATGAGCAATGCGGACGCCAAGCCTCAACTAATCTGGTGGATCCTACTTATTCAAGAGTTTGATGCGGAGATAATGGATAAAAAGGGAGCTGAGAACCTTACAGTTGACCACCTTGCGTGACTCGAAGAACCGGGAGGGGGCATCTCCCATAGAGAGTGCCACACCGTGGTTTGCCGACTTCGTGAATTATCTGGTTGGAGGGAAACTGCCCAAGGGGATGAATACACATGAGAGAAGAAAGTTCTTCTCCGACCTCCGGTTCTACTTATGGGATGATCCTCACCTCTTTCGCATTGGCGCAGTGATTCGGGCCCTAATGTACACATTTTACCCCTCATTTCTAATTTGTTTAGCTTATTATTTCATCCTTCCTCAACATATTTCACGCTAGGTTGTGCTTGTTTTGATACATTTTAGGTCGTAGCATGTGCGGAAGGGTCGAGGACGAGTTTTGTGATAATTGGAGGTCAAAAAGCGCAAAAACAAAAGAAAAGTCCTAATTTCACGGTCGGACAAGGCAGTTCACGGTCTCCTAAGACCGTGAACATGGACCACAAACCGTGAACATCGAGCAGTTCAGCGAGGTTTTAGAGGTTACTGACGCCAAGGGAGTTCACGGTCTCTAAGACCGTGAACTGAGGCCATTGACCGTGAACCCAGGAGAGTGAAGCCGTGTGTTTTGGACAACACCGAGTTCACAGACGCGTTTAGGTTTTCACGGTCGTGAACTCGCCAACGCGTCCGTGAACTGGTCACTTTCGGGAAAATATGAAGACATCAGCGGGGAGAGAGAAGGGAGAGCTAGTTTTCGGACATAAATTCAATTCCCTCTTTAGGGTTTGCCCAAAAACACCAAAGCGGAGTTCTAGTGAGAGAGAGAGAGAGAGAGAGAGAGAGAGAGAGATAGACAGACAGAGACAGAGAGAGTTCTAGAGTGATCTTGGAGCATCATTGGAGGCTTGGGTGGATCTTGAAGACAAGGATTCAAGCCTAGAAGAAGAAGAAGAAGATCTTGAGCTCAAATTTGTAATCCCTCTCTTCTCTCTCTAGAAACTCACTCTTTTCTCTTGGGTGTTGTAGATCCCTAACTAATACTTTGTAATTACTTGTTTAGATTGAATGATTTTGAATGGCTTTGCATCAATTTGAGTATTAGAGGTGTTTTCATGGTGATTGTGCTTAGTTGTGCTTTCCAATCTTGTGTGCTTGCCTAACCTAGATTAGAGGAAAACCACACCTTCTTAGGTAGGCTTGACAAGCTTGGTTTTCCTGGGGACTTTGTGTCTACTATCTAGGTTAGAGAAGAGCATCCCCCTTAACTCAAGTTTACATCTAGATTGGTCGTGATTAAGCCGCTCAAACTCTGGTTTGAGGGAGATATCTAGGCAACCCCCAGATACTCAGTGAGAGGATCAATTCCATGACAAATCGATCTCTAGTGAATCCATCCCATGACAAATGGATCACTAGTTGCTCCTCCTAACTGTTCCCCTAGACGTCGTGAGTGGATTGATCCCGTGACATATCGATCGCTAGTGAATTGATTCTGTGAAAAATAGATAACTAGATTCTCACCGTTGCGGTTCACAACCCCCTACACCACACGACTCCATTCAATACAACGAGTCATGGTAGCTAGTTAGGAGAAAGCAACTCCTGGGTGAAGCTCCCTTACTTAGAATTTTCCTTTATTAACTTTTCTTTGCTAGTTTTGTTTGTAGTTTCATTAGTTCTAAACCCAAAATTTTCTTGCTAGATAACAACCTAAGTGATTGAAGTAGGGGTACATGGATCAGTCCGAGTTGATAATTAAAACTTACTTGCCCTATGCTGCACCCCTCTATAGTTTAAAAACTTGGGCTTTAGAGGGGATCTCTAGTGTGGTGTTTTGTGTGAGTCAGGCATACGGGGTCATTCGGAGGTGTATACCGAAGAAGGAAATGATAGATATCCTAAACCACTGCCACATGGGACCAGTGGAGGCCATCACGGAGGAAACCGAACTGCAAGGAAGGTGCTCCAATCGATGTTCTATTGGCCAAACCTTTTCCGAGATACCTACAAATTTGTGAGCCATTGTGACAGCTGCCAGAGGACAAGTAATGTTTCTAACTGAAATGAGATGCCACAAACGATTTCCATTACTTGTGAGATTTTTTATTTTTGGGGCATCAATTTCATGGGTCCTTTCCCCTCGTCTTTTGTAACAAATACATCCTTATGGCTGTGGACTACGTCTCGAGGTGGGTTGAGGCTCAATCTCTCCCCACCAATGATGCAAGACGAGTCTGTGGATTCCTTAAAAAGTTGTTTTCAAGGTTCGGGACCCAAGGGCCATCATTAGCGACCGAGGAACCATTTTCAAGGGCTATTTGACAGGCTCCTCGATCGCTATGGTGTTACCCATCGGGTGTCAATGGCCTATCATCCTTAGACTAGTGGACAAGTTGAATTATCAAAAAGGGAATTGAAAAGGATACTGAAAAGACTGTGGATCAATCCCGCAAGGATTGGTCGTTAAATCTCAATGATGCTCTATGGCGGACCGCACGGCCTACAAAACACCAATAGGCGTCTCGCCTTACCAATTGGTGTATAGCAAGGCTTGTCATTTTCCCGTAGAGCTAGAGTACAAGGCTTCCTAGGCCACCAAGCTATTGAATATGGACCCTATTCTGTGTGGAAATGAACAAAAGTTGCAGGTGCTTGAACTCGAGGAGTTGCGTCTCCAAGCCTATGAGAACACAAATATTTACAAGGAAAAGACAAAGCGCATGCATGATGCTCGACTGAAAGGAGGGAAGGATTTCCAACCGGGAGACCAAGTGCTCTTATACAACTCCCAGTTGCGATTGTTCCCCGGGAAGTTAAGATAGAAATGGTCGGGCCCGTATGTAGTAACGCAAGTATTCCCATACGGGGCGGTCGAGATCACCCACCCAGAAAAAGGAACTTTCAAAGTGAATGGACACCGCCTCAAATGTTACCTTGGAGGGGAGGTAAGCCTCAAAAGGAGGTGGTGTTCCTACAAGATGCCTGAGCCGGAGTCTCCGTCTAGCTAACGACGTTAAAGTAGCGCTTGTTAGGAGGCAACCCAACGAAGGCTAGCAAGTTTGAACCACTACTACTACTATCGTGTTGTGTAATTAACTCGCCTTAAGCGAGTTATATAGTGTTTGAGTGTGTGTTTTTTGTCTTTTCTTTGAAGCTCCAAATCTCTTACCCCGGAAACAAATCCAACTTTCACTCACCAAGCAAAGCGGTAACGTCGTTCTACCCCTATCTTACCCCATTGAGGCCAATGTCGAGCTCAAGTGTGCGTGCGTCGGGGGGGGGGGGGGGGTGATTGATGCTTAGAGCCTTGATTTATGCATAAATATGAAAATTTTGAGGGCTCCAAGCAATGTTTGCTTGATTAAAGTGGCCGGTTTGTAGGAGAATCTTGTGTTATTGGCATTGACCTTGAATTGTTGCATGTGATCGAGTATGTCCTATGATGATGATTGAGAGGTGCATTAGGATAGTTCAAAGATTTATTTCTTATGTGTGCAAAAATTAATGAATGTTTTGACTCGATTACTTGTTGATTACAATTGCCATGCATGTTGCTTTGCGAATAGGAATAGATGGTTGGGTGACTAGGTAGCCATTTGAGCTTTGAGCTGGTCATTTTTTTCTTGTGCGCTTAGATCCCTCTTACCATGGAGAGTAACATCACATTTGTCACTAGTGAGTATGATGGAGGAATAGGATTAGTCCACGCCCAAATGTTGATTGTCCCGAAATGATTTATCCACTAGTCAACCCCTTTGAGCCTTGCGACTTTGGGGGTCGTTCTCACGTTAGGAGCTTTTTGCTTGTGAGCTTAATGGTGTCGAAATAAAGACCCCCATCATTTTTTCCGTGTCTATACATGTGTCGTCCTTGTGTCCGGAGCTCTCGCTTTTGAGCTCCATTGATGTTCTACATAGGAGGAGTGTGTGCGGTTCTTGCTAGAAATGAAAGTGAAAGGAAGAGTATTGTTGGAGTGAGTTATTAAAAATAGATCATTGATCATTAAAATTAGTTGAAAAATGTTTAACTCGCTAGTACCCCCCTCAAAAAGAAAAGAAAAAGAAAGAAAGAAAAAGAAAGAGAAACAAAAAAGAGGTAATAAAACGGGGTAAATAAAGTAGAGAGTGCCACAAGGAATCAACGAGTATGCTCTAGATGAGGTTTCTTGGCACACAAGCCATTGAAATCTCCACATTGTCTTAGAACTCCTTCACTACCAAATCAAAGTGTGATAGCAAGAGTGGACCAAGGAAGATTGCTTAAGGTAAGTTCATGATGGGTGATAGTTTGGAAGGGAGAAGCAAGGTTTTTGGCCGATGCTAGTAGCCGTTGTTTGTGAGGAAGGTTCTTATTCGAAACCATAGAACCTTCGGTTTTAAGGTGAAGATGTAGGACCTCATGATGTGTTTGCCACCACCCAAAAAGCCTTTTCCCCATGTCCAAGGCAATTGCCAGTCATTTGAACCTGTGTCTAAGACCTCCAGACAAGCTAATGATGACAACCATTCTGCGAACTCTAGCACTTAGAGGTTGCCGCCATGGTGTTGAGACGACAGGGCCGAGATATGATGGTTGTGCACACTTTTTGCACCAAAAGGTACCGACCCCACTGGCAAGAGAGTGAGTGATTCATTCTTGTTTTGCATGTCATGTCATACCCTAGTGAGGACCTTTGTTGCCCATCCGTTTGTTCCTTGGACTTGAACTCTATGCATATTTAGTTGTGGTTGGTAAGTGTTGTTGTTGGAACTTGCATTGATTCATGAACAAGGTGAGAACTTTTCATTTGCCCGTTTCTAGTAGCCCCGAATTTCGTTAGTGGTGGATGTTGGTAATTCTTGCAATGGTCCTCGTGTTAATTGCCAATAGCCATTTGAGATTTGCCACTTTGTACCCTTTGAATTTCCCCCCCAAGCATTTTGATAGGTTGAGCTTTTACCTTGTGTGAAATGGTTTTGTTGGGGAAAAGAAAACATCTAAATGTGGGCAAGTGAATCGGGCCTAATTGCACACATTTTATCCCCGTTTCCCTTGGGCGTTTGTAGTATTCGAACTCCTAAAAGGTTGGTTTTATGCTAGGTTTTGTGCGTCTTAGTGTGTTTCAGGATCCCATAGGTGAAACTAGCCCCGAAGTCGAAAGTTGGACGAAAGGAGGCAAAGACCGGGCAAAAAGGGTGATCCAGGCGAGGTTCACGGGTTAACATGGGAGTTCACGGTCCCCTATGGCCGTGAACTGAAGCCCAAAACCGTGAATCGCGATGTTTCTAGAGGGGAAATATTATGTTACTGGCGCGATATGAGTTCACGGTCAACAAGACCGTGAAGATTGTGGCCAAACCGTGCACTCTTGATGGAGAAGCGGTGTGTTTCGACATCCCGCTCTGTGTTCACGGACGTCTTGAAGAGTTCACGACCGTGAATTGAGGCCATGAACTAAGCTTGATCGTGGTAT